AATATTAAAAACAAAAAAAAGTAGAAACAACCCAATGTCTATCAACTGATGAATGGCTAAACAAAATGTTGCATAGCCATACAAAGGAATATTATTCAGCCATAAAAAGGAATGAAATAATGATACAAGCTACCACTTGGATGAACCTTGAAAACATACTAAATGAAGGAAACCAGACACAAAAGACCACATATTGTATGATTCCATTTATATAAAATATCCAGAATAGGCAAACCATGTGAGACAGAAAACAGATTAGTGGTTTCCAGAAGCAAGGTAGAAAAGGAGAATGGGAGTGACTGCTAATGGGTATAGGATTTCTTTTAGGGATGATGAAAATATTCCAGAATTAGATAGTGGTGATGGTTACACAGGAGCTCTGGTAGCATAGTGCCTAAGGCAGTTGACTACTAACCAAAAGGCTGGAAGTTCAAACCCATCAGCCATTCCTCAGAAGGAAGGTTGGGCAATCTACTTCTGTAGTGATACCGCCTCAGAAACCCAAGGAGGGGTCGCTATGAGTGGGTTTGACTCAACGGCAGTGCGTTAGTAGTTACACAAAGGAGCCCTGGTGGCAGAGCAGTTAAGACTTGGCTGCTAATCAGAAGGTTGATGGTTTGAACCCACCAGTCACTCTGTAAGAGAGAGATGTGGCAGTCTGCTTCCATAGAGATTACAGCCTTTGAAATCCATCCCTTCCTATGCCCTCAGCCAAGCTGCACCAAAGTCACTACAGACAGACTTTGGTCTCCAGTGTTAAGATCTTTCTGAGAGATAGCCAGAAACTAGCATCTCAGGTCTGGTTCTTCCCACAGCCAAACCACAAGTTCCCTTGGGCAATGAATGTCAGCCACTCCCTCTCACTTATGGAAGGGAAAAAAGAGGTAGGAGAATTAAGCTTACCTTAATGATCTCTTCATGTCCATCATTGGACTCCACCAGTTCTGAGGCCAGAGATTGACCAGGTGACCGGCCAGACACCATGGCATAGGTCTTCCTGCCCGCCTGCCAGAGAAAGGGAGAAATGGCTCAGAAACACATGGTAGGCCCAGAACCCCTGCCTTTCAGCCAATGCAGAAGACCTGTTCCTCAACAGACTTGAGATGTTAGTCTGATTTTGCCATCTAAGAATTAATTTCAGAATCGCTACCAGAAACCGCACAGCAGCAAGACCACTAGACAAAGAAAATTAGTAGAAATCACAGGTTAGTTTCCATTTTAGTGGGGTCTCCCCTCCCCCCTCAAAGCAGCACACAACGCAGAGTTCAGCTGGATGTGTCTGAAAGGTGATGCTCCCAAGCTCACAGCAGCAAAGATGCCTCCAGGAAGCACTAGGGTAAAGTGCTCAGCAGCAAGGAAGGGACACAGCCAAGAGGAAGAGGTCTCACCCCACAGAAACCTCAATACCTTCTGGGCTATGTGTTCAAGTTCATCTCCTGTCAGTTCGCCCTGGAGAGTCAGCCTGAGAATATCCGCGCTGCCCTAATAATGACGACAACAATGATAACCCCTTACTTTCACAGTCTAAGGAGCTCTGGTAGCACAGTGCCAAAGGCATCTGACTGCTAACCAGAAGGTGGGTGGTTCAAACCCACCAGCCACTCTGCAGAAGCAAGACTGGGCAATCTACTTCCATAAAGATTTACGGCCTTGGAAATCTGATGGGAGTCTCTGTGAGTCGGAATTGACTTGATGGCAGTGGGTTTTTTATTTGTTTGTTTGTTTACAGTCTACCAGTACAAAGTACTATAAGTACAGGAACACTTTGCCAACCTTGTGGAGTGGGCCTTATGGCCATTTCACAGACAAGGACAACCGAGGTCCAGAGAGGTGATATTGGCTTGCTCACTCCTGGGTGGTGGGATTCTCTGGGGCCATCTGACAATGCTCTTTCTACTGCAACACAGGCACAGCAGAGGAGATACAACATGCCGCTCCACACAGCTCTAGTGGGCCAACCCCTGTCTTCAGATCTCAGGAGGCACAATGCATGAACTCCTCTTCCCTCAGACCTGAAGAGGTCACCCCTCAGGTACCCAGTCCAGAATACCTGCTCCTGACAGTCAGCCAGAAAGTTACTGAACAAAACTAAAGGAAAGTACCTGAACCCAAACCTCTATTTCCGTAAGCTATACAGAAACAATCCAAATGAAAACAAGTTAGACGATAGGTATTTATCTAGAGACAAGCCTAAGTTCAAAGAACGAAGCAGGTTGTCTTCCACAAATCAAGGAAAGTTAAAAAAAAAAAAAAAAAAAAACCACTGTGTGTGGGAGGGGAATTCAGGGGGAAAAGTTATGGCCAGAGGGAAAAGTAGGAGGCTGGACATCTGGGAAGATGATCGCTCTGAGAGTGGGCCAGCAAGGCAGAGTGGACTAAGCCCTGCCACAACTTTGTGTGAAGGTGGGAGAAGGGCTGGTCTACTCTGGGGCTCTGCTTCCCACCTGAAAAATTAGTTGTTAGCTCTGGGGGTGCAACAGTTAAGCACTCAGTTGCTAACTGAAAAACTGAAGCCAAGAATACCCTAGGGGGCAGTTTTACTCTGTCACATGGGGTCACTGAGCTGGAACTGACTCAATAGCCCCCAACAAGTATAATAAATGAAGTATTTCTAAGGCTTACTCTACCTCCAAGTTTTGAGACAGTATGAAAGCACATTACCTCTCCCAGGCAGTGAAGGGAGGGTGGGCATTGAGCTACCCAAGGATGAAAGTGACCTTGAGGTCACCTGTCCCTGCCCTGCCTTGAAGCTACAGAGCATAAATACCACTTTATTCCTAACAAGTTTTAAGATACCTTCCCAACCTTCCGAATGTCTATTGGAAGGAAAAGAGAAAGGATGGGCTCTGCCAGAGGGAGCAGAGTGAAGCCTCTCTGGGAAGGCATCAGTGCTTCCTACACAAGGAAGAGCAACTTGGTAGAGGAGAAATCAGTCTTTGCAGCCAGAAACTTAACTCTTGGTTTTCTCATCTGTAAAACTGGAATATCACTATCCAACTGAGGGTTTTTGTTGTTGTTGAAGATAATGGATGGAGGGTGCTCTCTGACACATAGGAGGGAGGGGGGAAAAATATCCACTGCCATCAAGTCGATTCCGACTAATAGCGACCCCCATTGGGTTTCTGAGGCAGTAAATCTTTATAAAAGTATATTGCCCAGTCTTGCTTCTGTGGAGTGGCTGGTGGGTTTGAACCACCAATCTTCTGGTTAGCAGTAAGATACCTTACGCATTATGCTACCAGAGCTCCTTATATAGGAAGGAAGCACTCAAATATTAGTCTCCTCCCACATCCTGTAATAAACAATAAACCCGAATTTAGGAAAAAGAGAAGACACACCCATGGTGGCCCTTAAGTTTTCCCAATCCTGGCAAAGTATTTAGTTTTTAAAAAAAAAAACACTAAGCCCTACCAACATAAACCAGGTCCTTAGTGTGCCATTCAAGGCTCTCCACAATCTGAGTTAACCCACCTTTCCTGCTACTTTCCCTCAGTGCCTTACTTCCAATCCATCCTGTGCTTTCTCACTTTAGTGCCTTTGCTCCCATCATTTCCTTTGTCGTAAATGGCCTTTCTTCTCATTTACACTTGGGACATCTGAAATTCCCTCAAGAGTCAATTCAAATGCCACATCTTCCATGACGCTTCCCTGCATCCTGTGGGAAACGCATCTTCTCCTCCCTTTGAGATCCCTCAGCATCACAAGGCCTCCCGTGGCACCAGAATCTCGGGTATTTGTGTTCCGGGAGGATTTGCCCCTTCTAACTGTTGACTCTGTGAGGGCCATGCTCTGCCACAGCCCTTGACACAGGTAGGTATTTTCTGAATGTGTACTGAATATTCCATGACATCTAGGTCAAGAGAACATTACAAAAGAAGAGGGAATGATTTCAAAATAGTCAAAGTGACTGCCATTTGTTTTCCTCCAGGATACAAGTATGTGCTTTGATTAAAACACCATCTTCCTACACCTGGGGGCAGCTGGGAAAAGCTGGGCCATCCCCCAGTCAGAACAAACGAGTTATTAGGCAATAAAGATCATAAAGTCTGGTTTATTTCATGAACCCAGGCACTCGAAAAGAGCACAGACAACTAGGCTGGGTAGGGTCTGTGGTAGGTAAGGTTGTGTGTCAACTTGGCTGGGCTGTGATTTTGAGTGGCTTGGCAGCTGGATGTAATTATTACTCATGAGACTGAACATGGTATAATAACCTCCATGGTGGAATCTGTTGTTAGCAGTTAATCAGTTGAAGGAGAGTAGTTGAAGGGTGTAGCCTGCTTCCAGCATATATAGGAAAGATTCTGCATTTCGTTCAGTCTTCAGTTCCTGGACTTCAACCAGTGGCCTGCCATGTTGCCTGCCGATGTTAGGACTGATACCTTTGCAGCCTGTGAGCCAACAATCTGCCAATGGACCTATCAACTTTGGAGTCATCATCCTCAGCAGCCAGCAGCTGCATGAGTGAGGAAAAGCTTTCAGCTTGGTCTAGCAGGCCTGGAAGGCAGAGCTGAAGCCCAAAGAGAAGGGGCCTCCACCCAGCCCCTAGAGCCAGTACCCTGAACTCAGACTTTTAGCCTAGTCTTCCCCTAGAGCCAGCACTCTGAATTTGGATATCTAGCGTCCTAAACTGTGAGGGAGGAGCTCTGGTGGCATAGTGCCTAAGGCATTTGACTGCTAACCAGTAGTCTGGAGGTTCAAACCCACCAGCCACTCCTTGGAAGGAAGGTTGGGCAATCCTACTTCCATAGTGATAACTACCTCGGAAACCCAAGGAGGGGTCACTAGGAGTCGGGGCCGACTCGATGGCAAATAACAACAACAACAACAAACTGTGAGAGAATAAATTTCTGTTTGTTCAAGCCATACACATGTGGTATTTGTTAAAGTATCACTAGAGAACCAAAACTGGGCCTTTAAAGGTCATCTCATCCATCCTCCTGCCTCTAAATTAGGTGTTTATATATCTTACAAACACCAATTTTTATAAAGATATTCACCTTTCAGGAAAAGTGATCCTACCCACTCCTCAGGGGTTGCCATTCTTGGATGCTGTTGAGTGGATTTCAACTCACAGTGACCCCATGTGACAGAGAAGAACTCCCCTGTAGGGTTTACTTGGCTATAATCTTTTTGGAAGTAGATCACTAGGTCTTTCTAAAGAGGAGCTGCTGCGAACACTAACCTTTCAGTTAACAGTCCAGAGCTTAACCATTTACACCACTATAGCTCCTTTCCCCAGGGGTAGATTCTATCTGATCTTAGAAAACCAGAAATCTCATCAGTCTGGCCAGTGACAGGCTGAGATAAAAAGTATGTGACCCACTTCTGGCCAATAAGATGTATCTATAAGGCTACTGAGGAGCTCTGGTAGCGTAGTGCCTAAGGCACTTGACTGCTAACCAGAAGGCTGGTGGTTCAAACCCACCAGCCACTCCTCAGAAGGAAGATGGGGCAATCTACTTCTGTAGTGATACTGCCTCAGAAACCCAAGGAGGGGTCGCTATGAGTCAGGTCTGACTCCACAGCACATAACAACAACAACAACAACAACAATAATAAGGCTGCTGGGGAGAAGAGACAGTCTCTCCTGCTGGATCTTGGATTTGGAACTTTGGCAGACATCTTGTGACACAAAGTGAAACCTAACTTGAAAACAAAGCTGACATACTGATGATGGCAGAATGGAAAGATGGAATGGCTCTGGCTCCTTAATGGCAAAGTTGAGTGCTGAATTAAGCTACCCTGGATCTGTCTTAAGGAGCTATGGTGGTGTAGTAGTTAAGGCATTTGGCCGCTAATCAAAAGGTCAGTGGTTCGAACCCAATAGCTGCTCCACAGAAGAAAGATAAGGCAGTTGACTTCTGTAAAGATTTACAGCCTTGGAAACCCAATGGGGGTCACTATGAGTCTGAATTGACTTGCTGACAACAACAACATCTATTTAATTATTTATGTATTTATGAAAGTAATTAACTCCTCTGCAGAATGGAGGGGACAGAGAACCCAGAAACAGACCAGCACAAATATGTCACAAAGGATCCCTGGTGACACAGTGGTTAAAGCACTTGGCTGCTAACCAAAATGTCAGTGATTTGAACCCACCAGCCACTCCACAGGAGAAAGATGTGGCAATGTGCTTCTGTAAATATTTCCAACTATGAGTTAGAATCTACTCTACAGCAACAAGTATAGTCTTTAGTTTGGGTTTTCTGACAGAAGTACCAAAGCAATTCAATGGTGGAAGGATGGCCTTTTTTAACAAAAGGTGCTGTAGAAATTGGGCATCCATGGGCAAAATAAAAGATTCCCAGCCTAAGTCTCACACCTTATACAAAAATTACCTCCAAATAGATCACAAACTTAAATGTTAAACTATAGAACTGTTAGAATAAAAATAGGAGAAAATCGATATAATCTAGGATTAGGCAAAGAGTTCTGACACTTGATGCCAAAAGCATAATTCATGAAAGGAAAAAAA